GAGACTCAGTGAAACAAGACCAGTCTTAAAGGAAGCAAGGAAGTGCATCCCAGGAGACATCTACACTTGAAGAAGACGTGGAGAGCTTCTTAAGTGATAGGACTAAGGCTTTGTAACTGTTTACTTCAAAGCTTAGTGGAACAATGGATTAGAGGAACGAGTTGTTCCGTGAACCACTATAAAAATCCCTGGTGTCATTTACTTACTGCTTTCCTTTTTAAACTGATTAACTCCACAGAAGTGGTATCTCTGTTCAGCAGAACACCTCTTGTGAGTTAACAGAAGGCCTAGTGCCTTTGCATATCTGTGAGGCTATCCCGACAGAACCCCTACCAAAAGACCTTCGCTGCCAGTCTGTTCCCAACAGAACAGGCTATTCTGTTAACCTTGGTACTTAGCTTGAAAAAGTTAAAAACCATAACAGTCTATTCACCCCCCCCTCTAGACTGTTACCTCATTAACCGGGACCAACAAGTGGTATCAGAGCGTCCTTGTTCTTGTAATCTTTTAGGTTACTCCTTGAACAAAGATCCACTTGTTCTCAGCCTCTTTAATTTTTATTATGGACAACACGCTTGCAAAGCATCTCCTATTTTCAGATCAGAAATATGATGATTGGAAGATCCGGATAAAGGCACATCTCTGTGCACTTCATGATGAAATGTGGGAAGTCCTAGAAGAAGGACCCTTCACCAAATTCATGAAGGTGAACACTGCACATGCTACTGACAACACACAGCCCCAGATGATTGAAAAGGCCAGATCTGAATGGTCTAAGGAAGAAAGGAGACAGTACAACCTTGATAACGTAGCCAAGGACATCCTCTACAAGGCCATTGACAACAGATACTTTAACAGGATCAAGAAGTGTCAAACTGCCAAAGAAATATGGGACAAACTTGATCTTATAGGAGTTGGAGATGAGCAGGAAAGAGATAACAAGCTGACCATAGCTATGAAAAAGTTTGATGACTTCAAACTTCTGCCTGAGGAATGCATAGCAGAAATGTATGCCAGACTTCTGATTCTCACAGTGAAATTTCTGAGCTAGGAAAGGAGCTCACAGTCAAAGAAGTCAACCTGAAGATCCTTAGAGGACTGCCCCCAGTCTGGAAGATGAAAGTGATAGCTGTCCAAGAAAGCAAAGATGTCAAAACGTATCCTACAAAGAAGCTGATCTCAGATCTCAAAGCCTATGAGTTTGAGATGCATAATGAGAAGGAAGGAGTGCCAGATGAGAGGACCACCACTGCCCTCATAGCCAGTACTTCTAAGGTAAAAGATTTTGACCCTTTTACCTTATTATCTGACGAATATATGGCTGCCTTTGCCAGAAAATTCAGGAAATTCATGAAGAAAGATGGAAGGAGTCCATCTTCCAGTAGAAAGCCTTTCCAGAAGACCAAGCCTTCTGAAAGTAGTGGAGAGCTCCTCTGCTACAACTGCAGACAACCTGGACACTTCAAAGCCAACTGTCCACATCCCAGAGTGTCCAAAAGACAAGGACAGGATGGAGAGAAGAAATATGAAGATCATGCCAGAAGAAGAAAAGCATTGATCACTGAACAAGCTGAGAAAGATCCCCTGTCTGAGACAGAATCTAGTTCTATTTCAGACTCAGATGAGGCCTTCTGTTGCCTTGATGCTGACACAGAAGACCTATGCCTCATGGCACAATCAGATGATGAGGTATTCTTTACAGCTGATTCTATTTCTTCCTCGGTAGGCACAACCTTAAATGATGACCCAATGTCATCATTTTGGGAAGAGTTCAGAACTATCCAAGATACTTATATTCCTTAATCAAAGAGGAAAACAATAAGCTTAAAGTTGAAGTCTCTGACTTAAGAAAAGAGACTGAGTGCAAACTTAATCTCTTAACTAAAGAAACAGATGAACTGAAAGCTAAAAATGTTTCTCTTCTAAATAGAATAAGTGAAATAGAGGACCTTGAAATCAGATATGATAGCCTTTTGAAGATGCAGTCTTCTATAAAGGGTATTGATGATTTTCTTAACCTTACTCATGGTCTTGGATATGTTGAAACAAAGTCTGGTGAGCCTTCTGTAAGGCCTAACACCCAAGTTGCTAAGGCTGATAAGGTCATAGTGCCACAGACTTTTAGCCTCATCTGTCATGCTAGTACTTATGGTACTAAGGTTATTCATGAGAAAGTCAGGCCAGAAATCCAAAAGCTAAAGGCCAAACAAAAACAAGTTTTGAAAAACAATAAACCTGGCAGAAAACCGAACTATTCAAAAGGTTTTCAGAAAAATAATAATTAAAGGCAAAACTTCAACAGACACTCTCATGATAACTATGCTAGAAACTACTATCAGAAAGGCAGTTATCAAGAGAAAGTTAACTTTAGGCAGAAGAGGTCGTCTGGTCAACCTCAGAAGCCCAAAGCAAAACGCCTCTCTGCTCTTGATAGCATATGGGACTTCTTTCCAACAAAGAAGGCTATGCAGAAATATGCTAACAGAAAGCGTGAACCTCACAAGCATCTGCCCAAAGTGAATCATACTGCTGTTTACCATGACTACCAGGTGGATAATGGGTACCAGCCACCAAGGTTTCACTTGATGAGACCAAAGTGGTACCAACTACCAAGACTCCATTACCCCCCAGGACCCAACATCGCTTGGGTACCTAAATCTTCCTTTTGATTTTGCAGGAACTGTGTGCTGAAGCTATCTCAGAACAACAATGGTTTATTGATAGTGGATGCTCCAGACACATGACAGGTGACAAAAGTTGCCTAACAGAATTCCAGAAAATGAATGGACCTCGAGTCACTTTTGGAGGAAATGAAGAAGAAGGTCAAACAAAAGGAAAAGGGAAGCTGATCAAGAACCAGATAATCATTGATGATGTCTCATATGTCAAAGGTCTGAAGTTCAACCTGCTGAGTGCTAGCAAGTTCTGTGACAAAGGCTACACAGTTGAATTCACAAAGGCCTTCTGCTATGTGAAGCATGAGACAACTAAGGAAGTAGTTCTTACTGCAAACAGAAGAAAGACCATCTATGTTGTTGATTGGCAAACTGCAAAGGATGGTGTTTGCCTGATAGCAAAAGGAGATTCAAAGCTAAGATGGGAGATTCAAAGGATGGTGTTTGCCTGATGGCAAATAGAAGAAGAAGAAGAAGAAGAAGAACCGAACTGAAATTTTTACTTTGGTTCTATATTTGATTTTAGGTCAAAACCGAACCGCAAGAACCGAACTCACCCATACCTGTGATTAATTTATTTCAAAGAAATTATGTGGTTCATTTAATTTTGGGCAAGATTAGATCCAATAAAGAGCATACTTTTTATTAAAGATGATACGAGCTCAGTCATGATCGAGACTCACTTATTCTCCTTCACCCCAATCAAGCCAGTCTCGAGGGGGCATTTGTGGGCATTAAAAAATATTTGACCGCTTATGATATTCATTGGGCTTCTTTCAAATGCTATCAGGCTACTTCGACTTTATTGAGCCTCATTTGAATGATATTGGGCCAATGTTCAATATGTTGGGCCGCTCGTGATCTCTTTTAGCCTTAAATAAAGTAGTGATATGGACCACTTGAGAAGAATTTAGTGATTAAATTAATTTGGATTATTTAAAATGTCCAATTATTAATTTAATCATAAATTTAGTCTTTAAAAGAATGAACTGGTCCTATTAATTTTCCTACTTTTGAGCCCATTATCAAATAGCGGCTCAATATATAAGAGGCATGATCCAATTGATAAAGAGAGCGACGAATCTAGTTAAGAAATCCATCCATATGCAAGAGAAATAGCTCCGAACCTTGTTAAAAAGGCTGTCCAGATACATCAAACAAGTGCTGATTTTTCTAGCTATTAAATACAAGCAAATAGAGCCCAAAGCCCATTTTAATTAGGGCCCAAATGATATGGACGAATTTTGGGAAGCCTAAAGCATATTTCACCCCCTCCACACTTATAAATAGGGGTCTCAGTTGAGAGGAAGGGGAAGAGAACTTTCAGACGAAAAACGCTGCAGCAAAGCCCTGAAAAACTCCCGAGAGACTCTGAAAGATTCCGAAGAAGAAGAGATCAAGCCACGATTTTTCTCAAAAATATATGAATAATCCTTTGTGATTTCATGTATTCTTGACAAAATAAGTTCAAAAGTTGAAGAACGTTCGAAGATCTGAAGAACGAAGCTCGAAGATCTGAAGAACAAGACTTTGAAGATTCGAAGATATGAAGAACGAATCTTTGAAGATTTGAAGATATTCATATGAAGATTGAATCAAAATTCAATTGAAGATCAAGCCATATATTACAGGAGGCCCTTAAACAGAAGATTAAACCATAAAACGGCTCTTTTGTTGAAGATCAAACCACTCGAAAACCGGAGGCCCTTCAATTTGAATTCTTTATTCAAGAAGATTTGAAGATCCGAAGAACGAAGATTCGAAGATCTCACGAACAAAGATTCGAAGATTCGAAGAACGTTCAAATATTTGAAGGATTAGAGATTTAATTTTAAATTAAATTCTTTAATTATATTACTTCAAATTGCAAGTGAAGAATCAGAGGATTCATATTTAGATATTGTACCCGATATTGTCATATATTCTTATTTGCAATCAATTTTAAGTAAATACTTAAAATTTGTTTCACAATATGATTCATCTTATAATTTTTTATATATTTTGTAGATTCATTTATGCTCTTCGCTATTTTTCAATCAAACCAAAATAACGATCATTGTAAAAAAAATGGAATAATGATCATACACCATTCATAACATGTAGACAATTTTTAGTAGAGCATATCTTGGTGAGATGAAATTTAATATTAACTGACATTGTGAAACTTCAAGTTCACCTCATTTTTCACGTCTCCGTATGAATGACCTTAACAAAATTCCTTAATTTCATGCAACATGTGTTTAACTTATACAAATATATATAATTCCTTAACGTAGTAATATAATATGAGGAGAATTCTACTACTAAAAAATATTATGGAAGCATAATTTGCAATTCCTTGATATTGTCACAAACTATCACTCAATAGTGATGACATCACATTTCAAATTAGTACTTCGCAGTGTTTGAGTAGCTTTTTTAAGCTTAAAGTCAATATGACACTCTAGTTTGTGCTCTCGATACTTATTATGCTTAAATAGGATAAAATTTCTAGTGTATGACACTCTCGAAAAGTTAATATTACCTAACTCTATGCCACAAATATATACCCGCTTGAGGCATTATATGATCATCCCTTAAAATAAGAATAGTATATCTCCGAAATCATCATAGTCTAGTTTTTTTTAAAAAGAAATCACCTTAAGCTGTATTAATAGAATCAAAAGACAAAGTTTGAGCAATGCATCCCAGGGATCAATAAACCAAAATTGACCTACAGACATAGAACTCGCCGCTCTTGCCAGTTCGTGAGCGACTTTGTTTGCTGAACGCCTAACAAAAGAAAAGGAAATATGAGAAAACCATAAACTGATTTCCTTGATGTCGCCCGCCAAAAGACCTGAAGATGAACTTGAATCCTTCCGAATCTCCTCAACTACCTGCATCGAATCAATTTCCACCTCAATGAAATCCCAACCTTCATTTTTAACCCAACTCAAGGCTTCTCAGAATCTCAGATGCCCAAACATATCATTAGTCTAATTATCACTGGCTTTTATAGAAATTTGAATCATGCACCAAGGGTTTTTTTTACAAGATTATTACTAAAATAAAACTTATTTACATAAATATGACTATTTATTACTACAACGTAGTGTTGTGGTAATTTAAGTTCAAAACTTGAACATGAATTACTATGATTTCATTACTACTCTAGTAACTAGTCATATTTTTGTAAACCATCTTTATTTTCGTCATATTTATGTAATTATTTCATCATGTAATCTCCGCCATTTTGTTCTAAAATGACCAAATTTTAAAGAGAAATATGTAAAACTCACATGTAATCTCTGCCTTTTTAATGCTTACATTAGCTCATAGTAGCGTGAAATAATTCTCAAAATAACACAAATAAGCATATGAAAGACAATGAAATGTTAACGAACTGATAGAGATATCCGGCGTGGAATCAATTCTAATGCTTCTTGGTACTCTACGTCACATGTTATCCTCTACTTTGAGAGAATTTTCTCTAACTTTTTCTTTATCATCATTCATTTATTTCCTTCATAAGCGAATATAATTTTTTAAAAAAAAAAACTTTATTTCTTAAGTATAAATAAATAAATAAATAAATAAATAAATAAATAAATAAATAAATAAATAAATAAATAAATAAATAAATAAATAAATAAATAAATAAATAAATAAATAAATAAATAAATAAATAAATAAATAAATAAATAAATAAATAAATAAATAAATAAATAAATAAATAAATAAATAAATAAATAAATAAATAAATAAATAAATAAATAAATAAATAAATAAATAAATAAATAAATAAATAAATAAATAAATAAATAAATAAATAAATAAATAAATAAATAAATAAATAAATAAATAAATAAATAAATAAATAAATAAATAAATAAATAAATAAATAAATAAATAAATAAATAAATAAATAAATAAATAAATAAATAAATAAATAAATAAATAAATAAATAAATAAATAAATAAATAAATAAATAAATAAATAAATAAATAAATAAATAAATAAATAAATAAATAAATAAATAAATAAATAAATAAATAAATAAATAAATAAATAAATAAATAAATAAATAAATAAATAAATAAATAAATAAATAAATAAATAAATAAATAAATAAATAAATAAATAAATAAATAAATAAATAAATAAATAAATAAATAAATAAATAAATAAATAAATAAATAAATAAATAAATAAATAAATAAATAAATAAATAAATAAATAAATATGGGAGGCAGACGGATGATAGTTCAAAGTACTTCAGTGTTGGGGGCTTTAAGCAGATTGGTACATTACATAAGCGGATATAATTTTTTTTATTCAAGTAAGATGGTTTCTTGCCTTTCTTACTTGAATCAAAACGTCGTTCAAGTACATTTTGCACCTAGTTTTGAAAGAAAAAATGTCTGCATACAAGGTGAAGTGGCACAAACAGATTAGGCAAAAGGCTCTCGTATCGATGTTGGCAAGTTTAGTTCTGATTCGAACTCGGCCAGGGGAGCAAAGAAGCCGTCAACCATGTCCTTCGTAACGTCCTCCAATCGTGGCGGATCCCACTGTACCAATTATAGATCATTCAAAGATATCATAAAACCAATTTCATCATCTGCAATTTTTATCTATTCATGAAAGTGGACCATTCAATACCTTTGGAGCAAAATCCTTGTCAATTAATCTTGCACGAACACCCTGCATAAACAATAGTGGAATTTATCATTTTAACGTTTATGCACAGCATTGTATTTATAATTCATGAGCATTTTTTCATCACCTAATGTTTAACATTTCAGTTTTATCCTTTTAACGTTTTTTATTTCAAAAATATTCTTGAACACTATATGCTAAAACTTAACCTCTTAACCACAAACCATATCCTATTTCTCAGTAAAATAAGAAAAAAAAGTTGCAGGCTAATTAACAATCACTTAAACTTGGTAACACTTTTAGGAGAAAAAGGAAGGAAAATGTTAGGGGTACACAAGTTGTACACAACTTGTACACACAATGTCGGTCACAGACATTTGGTACGGAGTTGTCTGTGACCACAGACGAGAGTTGTCTGTGTACACAGACAAATTTTGTCTGTTTCCACAGACATTTACTTTTTTTGTAAAAAGTACACTGAGAGCCGCCTGACACTGACAAGTACTTTTTACAAAAAAGTAAATGTCTGTGGAAACAGACAAAATTTGTCTGTGTACACAGACAACTCTTGTCTGTGGTCACAAGCAACTCCGTACCAAATGTTTGTGACCGACATTGTGTGTACAAGTTGTGTACAACTTGTGTACCCCTAGCATTTTCCAAAAAGGAAGGACTACCTCACAAAAATCACCAGAAACGTGCTTCAAAATCCAGTTCACGGATACACGATATTCACTTGTCAGACACTGCTCAAGTGGCCGAAATCTCCCTTCCCTAATCTAATTATTCAGCAGCAAGAGTTTATATTTTTGGTGAATATTGAAATTGTTCCTAAAGAAATGAAAATGCTTAAACAGCTTACTGAATTCAAAGTGACTTTCAAGCTTAAAGGAGAAGCTGCTTTTATCTTTTTGAGAGTTGAAGTAAACCATTCATCATACGACTCAGCTGCCTGCTTTTCCTGAATAAACCATTTTTTTCACATTTTCCTGATTAATGAGTATTGGTTTAAACAAATACAACAAAATTCAAGAAGTTAACAAACTCTTTTCTCAATACTAAGAATGTTTCTCAACACTCTGCCACTCCGCCAGTAGTATATGATGTGGGGCTTACCAAAGCTTCAATTATTTCCTCAACTGTGTCTGGACTGAAGCATTTATCGATCATTTCAGACCTAAAATAAGCATGGAGTTAGAAATAAGACAAGAACAATTAAAATTGCTTGAGAACAAAGGAGCTCCGCCTTACACTCAATAATTTGGGAAATTAGGGCAATATTACTCAAGCATTTTGAAAGCGCAATAGAGAAACAAAGGAACAGGTATTCTGTATATCCAAGTCATATTATGGAATGATGATAGAACCCCCACGAATCCAGAACAATTTACAGAAAGATTAACAAGAAAACAGATGAATCTTTTTATTGATGAAGTTGATTGATTACAGAAAGAGAATAGAAAACCCTGGCCGAAGCCCCCAAAGAGAGAGAAATAATTCTCAATCTTCCCAGTCCCAAGACCTAATGTCCAAAACCCTAACTACTAACTCCCATTTCACGTCTATTTATACTAGAATACTCAGACCCTTATTACTAATATTATTATTAATACTTCTATTATTAGTCTAATAAGTGGGTTCCTATCAATACTCCCTCCCTAAACAACTACCTTGTCCTCAAGGTGGGATGATAGGAACCAAGTCTAGAATTCCGCTTCCTCCTGGTGCCTCTCCCCTCACAATATCTAGCTGGTGGTGGTGTCATACTTTTCCATACTTCTAGTCCTCTAGATGAAAAACTCCTGACCAGCCTCAGCCTAGCATTTGCTTCTGACTTCACCCTATCTCTTGATTGAAACTTCACACTGAATATCTCATGCAAAACTTCATTCACACACATGTCAGAAGAAAGTTTAAGAAAACTTGAATCATAATGTATTTCTCTTTCTGAATGTAAGACTTCAACAATCTCCAATGGTACTCCCCCATCATGAAACAGAAGTAGCATTTGTCCCATTACACTGTTTAGCCATATGTCTTCTTTAAGAACATGCTTATTTTCCTTGAGTAATACACCCATCAGCTGAAATGCAGGAATATCCAATGCAAATTTTAAGGAAGTAATAATTTCCAAGGGACCATAAGTCCACAAACCAGGGCTGTACTGTCCCAAATAACTTCATGACACTTCAGAGGGTCTTGCCAGAAAATGGACCTGATTACCATAGATTATTTCTAAAAAATTTGGTGCAACAACTTCACCTACAGCTTGGTGATAATTCTTAAGAGCCATCTTCTGTAATACTCTTTGTGAAGATGTCAAAAACATCAGGAAGTGATAGGTTAAGAACAGTCTTTGCAGTGATGTCTCCCATTTTTAGATATCCTTCTAATGCTTTCAATGGATTATGTAAGCCAAACTTGTGGTAGTTTATCATGCTATCAACAATAGGCTGCAATTCTGCTTCTTTTACTCCTGATAAGTCTTTAACAATTACTGTTGCGAGTTGCAGGGAACTCCTGTCAAGGTGCTGGAAATGGTTAGACTTGTCATCCTCATCAATCGGTTTACGGTTTCCAAACATAATAGCAAATTCTCCTAACAAAAGATCCACATGATCCTCCTGAGCCTCTAGACCAGATTTCCTTTTACCAATGCCTGAATATTCTGAAAACATTTCCCTTGGTTGTCTAGGTTCTTGACTTTTGATCAGAACAGCTTTATCATCTGAAACGTTCTTGATTTTAATTGCTCCAATTTCATAAGCAATTAAGACTCTACTTCCGAAGGAACATGGGTGGACAAGCAGGCCAGCATTAGAAACTCGACTGGGAGTTAACTCCATATCAATTGCAAGATTAGGAGAAGCATAATCTGGCGTTTGTTTAACCTGAAGAACCGTTTCCGACTTTAAGATACCTACAAAGGTAGTTTGCTCCTCGATTTTGTCCTTATTCGTTTTCTTCATTCCAGATTCAATTGGCTCCCTCTCAATCTCCTTTATGGACGGGATAATTTCTTGCGCAGGTACAAAACAATCTTGCAATAAAACTGGCGAACACAGAGAAACGACTTGAGAAGAGGAAGGGTAATAGTGAGATGCTGGGGAAGTACTCAATTTCAAACATGGGGTAACATTAGTTCGCGTCGAAGAGTGCGAACTCGAAGAAGTTCTTCGTGACCTTCGCGACAATTCTTGGCTTTCTTTCTTCCCTGTCTTCTGTCGGCGTGTAGGTGGAAAATCCCTAATCAAGTCTTCCTTTAGAGCCTCCCAACAGTCTTCTCTCTTTTGAAAATCCCACCATTGAAACCAGCCACACGCTTCTTCCCCCATAGCCTTTGCTGTTGTGTCCACTTTAAATCTTTCTGCAATAGCTTGGACTCCGAAATATCTTTCCATCCTCTCTATCCATTCGTACGCTTCATCCTCGTAAAATAGAGGTAATTCCTCCGTCTTTGAATTAGCTGAGTTCCGAGAAACTGCTTTAGAAGAAGATAGCGAATTGTGAGAATCCTTTGGTGAAGAAGAAGATTCTCTTCTCAATCGTGTCTTTCTTGAATGCGAACTGATGTCCGTTGAGGAATTCAGCGAACTCTGATGCGAAGAGCGATGATAAGAGCGATGGCAAGAACTTTCCGAAGAGCGATGCGGAGAATGATTCGCGTGGTGCGAAGTGTGCGATGTATGTCGCGAACGACTCTGGACCTTATTCTCCAGCTTTGCGATGTCCGCCTCCGAAGAGCGATGCGAAGAATGATTCGCGTGGTGCGAAGTGTGCGATGTATGTCGCGAACGACTCTGGACCTTACTCTCTAGCTTTGCGATGTTTGGCTTTATGACTGCCAAGGTCGTTGCCATAGTCGCCATTGTTGCCGATGTTTCTTTTTGTTTTCTTTCCAGTTCGTTAATTCTTCCTTCCATCCTGGCACGCCTAAATCATCCAGCGATCAGAACAACTCAGATACCAATGATAGAACCCCCACGAATCCAGAACAATTTACAGAAATATTAACAAGAAAACAGATGAATCTCTTTATTGATGAAGTTGATCGATTACAGAAGGAGAATAAAAAACCCTGGCCGAAGCCCCCAGATGAGCCGAAGCCCCTAGATGAGAGAAATAATTCTCAATCTTCCCAGTCCCAAGACCTAATGTCCAAAAGCCTAACTACTAACTCCCCTTTCACGTCTATTTATACTAGAATACTCAGACCCTTATTACTAATATTATTATTAATACTTCTATTATTAGTCTAATAAGTGGGTTCCTATCAAATGATAATTTATGCACGTACATATAAATGGAAATGGCTGGCAGATTTGCAGGAAGAAATGTTTTCTTGTCGCTCTCTCAACTCCTGATGAGCTGACCATGATGTTTGATGGATGGAAAATTTTGTCCCAATGAAGATTAATTCCCTGTATGTCTAGAAAAAAACAGTCTAACCTAGCCCTTCCTTTCATTTATTCCGCATGCAATTTCCTAAGACTATGTTTGATTGCACTGCTTAGGAGGAGAAGGAACACGAAATTTTGGATTGATGTCAAATAGTGAGTGGAAGGAAAATAAGTAGGTTTATTTGTTTGGATTACTCATGACAAATGAAAGGGAGTAGTTAACTTTATTACCATCATGTATTTCCCAAATTAACCCTATTCTGTGAGTACATAAATTTGTAAGATGATGGATTATGCAATCATGATTCTATAGAGAGAAAAGGGGCAAAAGTAGGAGGAAATTATAAGTAAACTAGGCTAATCTAGGTGCTGACACACTTCTTTCCATTTGTGGAAAGGCCTAATAATAATCTTGAGATCTGTCACATGTGTAACAAATCTGTTTGGCGGGAAAGCTCTTCCCCACGGCCCACCTTCCGGTTTCAAGTCCTGTAACTCCCCGTCTCCATCTGAAGCTAAACCAGCAGGGGCGGAGGTACAGCAACACTCTAATGGAATTTAGAGTAGGAACAGACTGAGACTGAAAGGCTTGATTCATTCCAGAAAATGATATCCTATTTATACAACAGCCTAGAGACTAATAAGGCAGGCTACTAATTATAATATTAAATACAAAGATTTGTAACTGATTTATAATACTAAATACAAATAATTCAAATTTATTTTGTAGCTAATGTAACGGTTCTCTGGAGCTGTCTGGACTCTTCTATATGCCCCCGCAAGCCAGGTATTCTATCAATGCTGAGAATCCTGAGCTTGTCACGTAGAAAAACAAACCGTTGTCGTGAAAGGGGTTTGGTGAGAATGTCAGCTAGTTGATCATGTGAGGGGATATGAAGAACTCGAAGAAGACCACGTTGCACACGTTGACGGACAAAATGAAAATCAATGGCAACATGCTTCATGCGGGAATGAAATACAGGATTGGCGGAAGAGGTTGTAGCGCCTTTATTATCACATAGAAGAACCGGAGGGGAAGTAGGTGAATGTCGGAGCTCGTGAAGAAGTGACTCAATCCAGAGGGTCTCGGAGGAAGCAGTGGAAAGGGCCCGATACTCTGCTTCGGCAGAGGATTGGGCAATTGTTCGTTGCTTAGATGATTTACAAGAAATAAGTGATTCTCCAAGAAAAATGGCATAGGCGCTGATAGAGGAGCGGTCATCTAGATTCCCTGCCTAATCTGCATCAGCATAAGCACATAAGGAAAGGGAAGAACTTCGTCGGAGATATAAACCATGAGAGGCAGTTCCTTAAAGATAACGCAAGAGGCGTTTCGTGAGTTGCCAATGATTCATCGTGGGTTTGTCCATAAACTGAGCTAGCTTGTTGATGAAAACCAAGGGATAAAAGAAACCCACTGAGAGACTGATACCACACTCGAGGAGCTTGTTTCAGCCCGTAGATGCATTTCTTAAGACGACATATTCTCCCAGAGCCTGATTTCTTGAAACCAGGAGGTTGTTTCATGTAAACTTCCTCTTGGAGAGCCCCATGTAGAAATGCATTATTGACATCAAGTTGATTGATTTGTCAGCCATGAGAAAGAGCAATAGTTAGAACAACCCGAATAGTAACTGGTTTGACAACTGGGCTAAAGGTCTCAGAGTAATCAATCCATGGGCGTTGATGAAAGCCCTTAGCCACCAGTCGAGCTTTGAAACGATCCAAGGATCCATCAGACTTATATTTCACATTATAGACCCATTTGCAACCAACA